TGTCGAATAACGGCTGCCTTATGTAGGGGTTCTGACGTACTTAAGCCAGGCTTCTATTGGAGTTGGCGGTTATCTATTACAAAACCGACTGCAATTTGCTTTATATTTCTAACATTGATAATTAGATTGCACCAATCATACATCGAATTAACTATAAATTCCAATAAATTAAGAATTTGGTAAGGTAAATCAATTGCCAACATATTAGGTGTTAGTCTGGTTTTGTGTGGTCGTGATCATTTTTCACACGGCACAATGTGCTCTAACCACTGACTTTATTTCTATTTCTGTATTGACCTAAATACAAATGTACCCCCGCCCGCACATAAATAATGCCATCTCCTTTAAATCAATGCCACTGCCGTTCATATTATATAATTTGTCGAGATAAAGTAACAGCCAACCAAGGCAAATTCAAAGTAATTAATGCAAGTAATTTAAAGTAGACCAAATGACTATATTAGTAACTGGCCACGTACAATTATTTCACTAAAAAAATACTGATTTGATAAAGGTTTGATCCCCGTTGTTTGGTATAGCAACTAATCTCATTCTAAAAATATTATTCTAAAAACAGCCTAATCCCAGCCGCGATGCCACGTATCCTTATTCATCAATATCTCGTAGGCAAACGTATACGCCACATTTGAGCAAAAATGAGATCTCGAAGATGCATTAAATGCAATGTTATCATTGTTATGATACTGGCAGCGATATATCTCATCTTACCCAGATACGAGCGTGTGGATACCGGCGACAGTACTGCCATGGTAAGTAAGATAATTAGACCATAAGCCAATGGGGTTGGTCGGTACTATCAGAGGGGAATAATGCTCATAGTGTTTTGTGGTAAGCTATCCATCTGTACAGTTAGAAAAAATGTGATAGCACTGCATCAGTGGCAGCTTTATGTGTGTTATCACTTTTTTTTATATCCTAACTTAAAACAGGCGTTTTTGAAAAATAAAGTGAAATCGTTTTGTTTTTTTATACGCAAACGCTTATATTTATGAAGAGTTATTACAAATTTAGGAATATACTTGAACACAATAGTTTGTTGCCCCTTTATTAGAGAATGGAGATGATTTTTTTATGTAAGTTGTATATTTAAAATATCATTGTTAAATGTGTTACCCCTTTCAAATCAACAAAAGAAATACTATATTTTATATTTTCTCAAGTTTAATTTGATCAGTGTACTGTCATTTCTTTTCTTTCAAATCAATAGTATCTGTGTATAAGCTAAACACTGTTAACCAATATTTCTTTTTAGAATTATTACTAAAATTGTTATTGTTACTTATAAAACATGATTTACAGTCTACAAATAGTATTTTGTCCTGAAATGTATTAGGAGTTTTAGTACAGTACAGCAATATATTTCATAAATATGTTTCAAAGCTAATTTTGTCATGAATAACATATATTACAGTTGCTATTTGAGGTATTTTCTGGTGGTGGTGATAGTATTAATTATAACGTACTTGTCGATAGAGTATTCAAAGTAGATTAGTGGAATCACCTTTCTTTGAAGAAAGCTTGTAATACGACTACCATATACCATATGTAACCCACAGTTATTATTTTAACTATATTTACTATACAGGGGAATAAAGCTCATAAGGTATGTACTCATAGTCTTGCAAAATAGCAATCTGATTAAAATCAGATCTAATTGGCTTGTTTAAATGTATTTAATTCTTATTTTTATATATTTTTTTAATATCTTTATTTTTTTTTAGTATTTTTTTATTCTTTTTATTTAATTTTTACTTTTACTTACTTATTTTCTTAGTCTGATCATCGAAGTCCATAAATATGGACTGATCATCAAAATCCATAAATATAAGATAATAGTTCAAACAGACATATAGATAGGTGCAAGAAACACACACCCAACACTGAAACAGGACATTCACAGGGATGTCATTTATAGCGGTGCATGTGTGTGTATGTGTGCTTTTGGTGAGTTATTATCACATTT